AGCTAAACCCCCCGAAATACGTGACCCACAGGGATCCCAGAGGGAGAGGACAGTGAGGAAAGTGGCCTGGGAAGTGTCACAAACACGGGTGGGTCACGAAAACGTGGGAATTTGGGGCTTTTAGGGCAAAAGGAGACGGAGCAATTCCAACAATCCCTTAAAATATTTCCACTCGTAAATTTAATCCGGCACCAAAAAGCAAATTTGTCATCTTCCTGACCTACCACATGAATCAGTTTTAGTGTTTTGAAGGCCTCAAAAGCCACGAAGACAAACATGATCCACTGTCTTGTTTGATTTAAGCTGCTGGAAGGGGGGCAAAGGAGCTCTTTCAATCACTGCTTTTTTCCCCTTCCTAAGTCATTAATGGCACGATTTCCTTCCGAAGTCGTTGGTGACATCACTGTTTCCTTTCCAGGCCCTTAATGACGTTGTTTAACGAATAATAACTTGCTCTTATATCGCGCTTTTCTCGGGACAAACAACCCCAAAAGTGCCCTGCAGTGGGGAGTCGCTCCAGCAAAGGGGGGAAAATGAGGCACAAAGGGAGGAAGTGACTTGTCCAAGGGCAGAAAATTCCTGACAAAGCAGAGCTGGGAGTGTGGGAGTGTGTGTGTGTGTGTCGGGCTCTTGGCTTTCTTCACTCTCCGAATGTTCCTGTGGGTGTTTGTATGTCGGAAATGCAGCTTTTAGCCCACGACAAAGGCCGAAATAACCCATCTGATGAACTCCTAAGTGCCTGCTCAACGATCCGCTCTGAAAATTGAAAGAAGTAACCGGGGATTTTCACCCCTTTCACCCGCCCACCTGTGAAAACGGACCTTTAGTTGCCAGGGAACGAAATCAGGTTTTGGTGGAGACAAAAGGAAAGAGTTTCTGTCCTTTAAAAACCCATTAGAGAGCTAAAAAACCCAAACAAACCCAGAAGTCTCTTTAGCAGAATTATGTGTGGGATAGGCCAAAAATGAACTTGGGTGAAGTTTTGTGTAGGGCAGTGAATCACTTGTCTCTAACACCACCATCATTCTGGTTTTAAGCCCTATTACAACTTAATCCCTATTGCAATTTAATTCCTATTACAATTTAATTCCTATTACAATTTAATTCCTATTACAATTTAATTCCTATTACAATTCCTATCAGCTGTGATGGTGGAACAAGCAGAGACCTGATCAAACCCCCTTGATCCTGGAATGGGGCAGAAGGTGTGATGTCATTCCCTCCTTGAACAACCAATAATCCAAACAGAGAAGAAGGGGGAAAGCAAAATAATTCGCCTGAAGCCTTTGCAGGAGGTCAGTGGCAGCCCCTGGTGCCCGAATTCCCAGATTTTCAGGATTCCCTGCTGTGGATTATTTACCCCTTCAAGGAAGGACTTTGAAATCACTTTGAAATTGCGACCACCATAAACTTTCCCGATGTTTTGAGCCACCACAGTATCCAAAACAAGGGATGCAGAGAGAAAAGGCTCAAAAGCAAAGCTTTAAAGGAAGACAAACTAAATTATTTGGCTTAAATAATGTGTATAAATAATGTGGGGAGGCTCCTCTCTGTGCTGGTTTCGCAGGGAGATGAAGGAGCTCGACGCATCCACGTGGGTGAGAGGGATGAAAGCTGGGCCTGAAGTGGGAAAACAACTTCCTGGAAGGGATGTGGTTTGGAAAACTCCTGGATTCTGGCACGTTCTCCCCCGTGGCTGCAGCTGGCAGAGGGTGAGCCATCACTGCTGTGCCCTGTGGAGCCAATCCTGCTGTTCCAGCTGAGGGATTCAGGCTCTACAGCAGCAGTTGTTGCTGGTGACTCCAAGGAATTTGGCTGCCTGGGAAGGATTGCTGCTCTCATCCACGCAATTCCCTCTTTCTCCAACCTGCCCAGGAGGAACGAGGTAAAACCTGAAGGAGCAAAGGGGTTCGTGGAGCAGAGACACTGATTTGTGTGGGTGCAAAGAGTGAGTTTTAGCCCTGCTTGGACACAGATAAATCACAGTCCTCGCTCCTGATAAACCCAAGGGACGGTTTCCCCAGAAAGAAGGGAAGGAAGAGCCTTCATTCCCAGGAAAAGCTGCTGGAATACTGTGCAGAGAGGCAGTTCATCAAGTATTTGCATCCCAGTGTTCCCCTTTGTGTAAGCCAGGCCAGAAACACCACTCTGACACAGCTCAGTCCTTAAATTCCCTGAGAGCAGGTGGAATTATCACAAGAAACATAAACCTCCTTAATTCTCATTCTTGCCCTTAACCTAGGACGTGTGTCTTTTACAGATAAAATACCTGAAGTATGAATAATATGTAAAACACAACGTTGTGGCCTTTGTCTTATAGACAAAGCCTATAAGAGCTTTTTATTTATTATTATTTATTTATTATTTTATTTATTTATTATATCCCAAGAATTTCCATGTCAGGCACTCGACGTTCACTAAGTTGATGTCGTTTTTAAATAACAATTAAAGTAAATGCAAAGGATCCCCCTGAAAATGAAAGATCATTTGTGACCAAGGCTCAGACAAGGCTCAGAGTTCTGGTGGAGGAGCCTGTGGAGGAGCCAGTTCCCTTATCCACGATTTTCAGGATGGAGCAGTAAAGGACTAAGTTTAGCAACAACTTTTGTAGCTTCTGTCTGTGGTTACAACTGAGATGCTCAAGGGAAGCAGTTCCCACGAGCCAGTACTTTTAATTTTGCCTCCCCATATTAAAAGCACCGACTGATAAAACAACAACCACCATAAATTAAATACCTCCACAGTCTCAGCTTTCACGGCTTTCACTTCTCCCCCCCCCTCCCCAAAATTCTTCTCAGGAAACCTCTGTGCCCTTTCCTCCCCGGCCCAGCCTCTCCTCACCGCGGGGATTAGTTATGTAAATCGGGATTTAATCCCCTGAAGGCAAATTTGCAGTTCAAGTCCAAGTGTCTCCGTGGCCAACTGGAACCGAGACCGCCAGGGCTGGGTGGATGTCCAGCACTTTGTCCTGGAGTTTAAGACAATTCCTAAACCACAAGGATCTCCTCCAGGTTACAAAGGCAACCAGCCAGATCTCTTCCCCCTCCCCACACCCCCCTTTTTTTTGGCTTTTAAACAAGCTGGTAACACAATAGATAAAAGGCAAGAGGGGGGGGGAAAAAAAGAGGGGAGGAGAGGAGGGGAAACCCTCCCAGAAAAAAAGTGAGCTAAGGCTGAGTGAATTCCCAGCAATGTGGTGACCGTATTGTCCGCCCCTGGGGCGCTCAAAGGAGGGGGATAAAAGGAAGAACAGCGGCCCAGCAGGAGGCTGCTCGGGGAGCCGTCTGCCTTCCAGCCCCTCGATGTGACGCTTGAACAGGTGCCATCTAAAGGATGTGCCATCCAAAGGATGCTTAAACCGGTGATTATGGGGCTGAGCGATGGGTTTCCTCTCCCAGGAGAGGGGTTTGTTTGAAAAGAAACTGTATTATGGGGCAGGCTGACCTTCCAAATCCACCTGTGGCAGGGGAGGCTGGGGTAGGAGAGGCTGGCCAGGCTAAAAGGGCTGACACTGGGTTTGGTCTTGTTTAAGCTGTTGTAAATCATAAAATCACGGAGTATCCCGAGCTGGAGGGGACCCACTAGAGCCATCAAAGTCCAGCTCCTGGCCCTGCAGAGGGTTAGGATTCCCAAGAACCCACGGGAACTGTTCCTGCTTTGGAATTTGAGCGCTCTCAGGCACGTGGGATGGAGGGCAGAGGGAGCAGGGTGGCTCCAGGGAATCCGTCCCTGTGAGACACGTCCATCCCTCCTCAGCATCGGAGGTGCCAAGGGCTCATCCCTGGCAGCACCAGCAAAATTCCCTCCCTGCCGGGTCTTCCTCTGCCAGGAAGAGGAAGACACGAGGTGTGTACAGGAGGAGGACACTGGTGTGTACAGGAGGAGGACACTGGTGTGCACAAACCAGCGAACAATTGTTCCCTGCTACATTTCCCACCGTTTCTTTGCCCAGTCTGGCATCGGGCACTTCCCTTTTTTCCAGGAGCACGGTGTGCTGGCTGGGGGAGGACCCACAGGAGAGAAGATGAGACCCCTGGGAGCTGCTCTGTGTGTTCTCAGGTGGATGATTTCAGGGAGAGCCTGAGCTGTAGGAACACGATACACGGACTTTTGAGGCCTCTTTTCAAAGATTTGTCATTTTTTGTGCTCCTTTTTTGGGTTTTCCTCATTTCTCCATGAGTGTTCTGGGTGACGTGTCCAAGACAAGGGTGATGCTGTGTGGACTTGGGAGGTGCAGGAGCAATCCCACACAGAGTTATTCCCTATATTTTAGGATGATTTCTTTTTACCGGTTTCCAGCTCATTTCTGACACTCTTCCTGCTGGGGACAAACCCCCTCCAAGGGGGGGGGGACATTCCAAGATAACAAAACAGGTGCCAACGGGTTAAAAGCTCTTCCCGAAGGAGCTGGGGGAGCAGGACAGCCGGTGGCGCTCGCGGAGCCCCGATCCGTCAGCGCGGAATTGGCGAGATAATGGGATTTTGCGGAGCGGTCCCAGCTCATCCCTGCGGAGCGATCCATGTCCGCTCGGCTCGGGCGCGCATCCAGCGGGTGTGCAAAGGGGGGGTGGGGGTGGCGGTGAATAAAAAAAACACAAAACCAGCCGCCGGAAAGGGGGTGAAAAAAAAAAACCCAAACAACAAAACAATTAATGTCGCGCGGCCCCCCCGTGAAGCGACGCGCCGAGAGCAAACGCGCCCGCCCCAGCCGGAGCGCGATCCGTGAACCGCAAATTTTACCGGGGCGCGCGGGCGGCGCGGCCATGATTGAAGGCGGGGGGGGGGCCGTAAATGTCTGTGGTGGGGCCGCGGCGCGCCCGCCGCCCCCGCGACACCCCCCCCATCCCCCCCCCCGCCCCCCCCCCCCCCCCCCCCCCCCCCCCCCCTCCGGCCCCGGCCCGGGGGTCGAACCCCCCGAACCCCCCGCCCGGCTCGGTGGAAGCAGGGAGGGGGCAGCGCGGAGGAGGAGGAGAAGAAGAGGAGGAGGAGGAGGAGGGAGAGCAGGAGGAGGAGGAGTGTGCGCGTAGAGGGAGGCGGGGGGGGAAGGAAACCCTCATGGAAGTATGAAGGAGATGGTGGGAGGCTGCTGTGTCTGTTCTGATGAGCGGGGCTGGGCGGAGAACCCGCTGGTGTACTGCGACGGGCACGGCTGCAATGTGGCGGTGCACCAAGGTAAGCGCCGGGCACCCACCCCGGCCCCGCGCCCCCCAAAAACCACCGGGCACCGCGCCGACACCCCCCTCCCCCTTCCCCCCAAAACACCGGGCACCCCGGGGAGGCCGGGGATGGAGGGGGGGCTGCGCGGGGGTGTGTGTGTGTGGGGGGGCTTTGTTTTAAGCCCTATTGTTCCGAATAACGGTGTCGCCGCGGGGCCGGAGCCGCGCGGGAGCCGCGGGGGCAGCGCGGGGGGCTCGGGGGCAGCGGAGGAGCCCCCGAGGGGGGACACGCACACCTCCGGGGTTTGGGGGGTCGTTACCGGGCGGGGGGAGTTTCCCCGGGGCTCTTTCCCCCTGCCCGACCCCCCCCCGGTGCCCCCGTGGAGGTTTTTTTTGGGGGGAGGTGGGTGGGCAGCGCCGCAGATGTCCCCCCTCGGGTCCGGGGCCGTCGGGGGATGGCCCCGGGTAACCCCCGGGGGTGGCGGCGGGGCCCGGAGCTGCTCCTGCAAGGGCAGGGAGGGAGGGAGAGAGGAAGGCAGCCGTCCTCCTCCTCCTCCTCCTCGCAGCGCGACACGGGCTATTTTGCATTTTAAATGACTCCAGCACGCCCCTAACACACGGTATCGGGCCGGAAAGTTTGTCCTCGGGTGTCTGAACAAAAAAAATACGAATTAAAATAGGTATTTGCGTTCCGTTCCAAGCCGGCAGAAAGGCGCGGTGATTATCCTGCTTGGTTTGTTTGGAATAACACGAAGGTTTCTGGGCTCATCTGGCCTGTCTGTTTTCCCATCTATTATTATCCCATCCATCTACCAGCACATCTCCAGCCTCTTCCTGCACACTCTCCAGCCATTCCCGATGCTCGCTCCTGGTTCTTCCGGCTGCCCGTGGGTCCTGCTCTGTCCCTGTCCCTGTCCTTGTGTCCTGCTCTGTCCCTGTCCCCGGGTCCTGCTGTGTCCCTGGGTCCTGCTCTGCCCCTTCCTTGGGTCCTGCTCTGCCCCTT